ATCGTTAGAAGAGCATCTCTACATGTCATTATAACACACTTCCATTAAGCCTAATGACGGAAGGTATACCGGTGAGATGAGCTTTTCAATGCATCATTAATTCATTATGTAGCTACAATAAGACAGTTTAAGTATTTCATTTAGGTCTAATGATGCAAAATAATCTAAAACAAAAGCGTATCTATGTGTCATTATAACACAGTTCTATTAGGCCTAGTGTCGAAATTAGGCCTAGTATCATGGGAAGAGTAGCTTAATAAATGTATCGTTATGTAACCACAATAAGATAGCTTGAACATTTCAGTTAGGCTTAATGATATGAGTTATGTCTACATAACACAGCTTAAAATGTTCAGGGGCGTAGTTAGGAATACGCTCGTGCGTAACATTGAAAAATTCAAGATACGAATTTTCTTTAATATATAATCTTCATCTGATTATTTTCTCCGAACAAAATTTAAATTTGTTGTTTTTGTTTGTTTGTTGAATTTTTACAGATACTTCCCCGATGACTATCTTTACTAGCCGTCCCTAGGGGGGAAACTAGCTAGGCAGTATCAGTTACCGCCAACTCTTGGGCTACTCTAATCGCATAGAGGGATTTGACTGTCACCCTTATAGCGCACCAACGGTCCCCAAGTGTGATTGTGATTTTTTTTTGCTTGCGGTAACGGAGCGCGAACCACAGATCCATAGTTCAGCATGCTAATTGTTATGTAGCGTTTGACCGGAGATGACGGGGGGGGGGGGTATACAACGCTTGGAAAATTGTAAATTAAACAAAATAATTATAAACAGCTCGTAAAATTTGACTATCAAGGGAAGGATACGGGTTAAGTTGCTTCAAATTCTGTAAAATGTTCAAATAAATCTTTCCCATGGCAACGTGAGTCTGTAAATACGTGTACGTGAAACCTATTCAAGCAATCGATTGGTCAATCATGGAACACGATAAAGCAGGACCTGAGGAAAATTTTTATTCTGAATTATTGCTTTTCGAAAAATTCTGTGAACATACACTTCCATCCACAAGATCCACTGTTTCAGAAATAAACCAATCTATTAAGCCAAAGTTATGGTCTATAAAAAACGAAACGTTTATTATTTAACAACTAAAACTGTAGCAGGAATTAAACCAATTAAACATCTGTAAAAAAAACGTTGTTTGGGTATCTTTGTCAAGGAGTTTGTTTTGTTATTTTATTCAGAGTAGATTAATCTGTATTCAAGTACGGAAGTTAGTGAGAATATATAACTAAAACCATCTTTTTACTCTATTAAAACGAAGCCTAATTAATAGGATGGGCGCTAGTGGAAGTTCAAGGGGACTTGGTCCCCGCAAAGAAAGTTATTAAACATAGAGCTAATTTAAGAACAAAACTGTTAATTCAAGAGACTAAATATCACATATTTTGCGATACACAAAGATTTTTTTATTATTTAGGTCGTATTTTGTCATATCCTGAGTGTAAAATCACACCAGTAAATTGAACAAATTATAAAAAAGTTATTTGAAATTGTATTTCACACACACACACACACATATACATATATTTCAACTAATATTAAATTTGTTTTTCAAAATCATTTTGTTTAATTAAACTTAAATAAGTTTTGCGCTGAAAAAGCGTCCTCTTGGGTAAAACATTTTCTTTGAATTGAATAAAGTTTTTAAACATTAATCATTGATGAACATGTAAAGGCTTGGAATAGTCGATTCTTTTATTAGGGTTATGAGTCAGACAAAGTTCGGAGAATTCCACTGTTAGTTAGAAACGCCATACACTACCACCAATAAAACTTCACCCCAAACCAAGCCTTTATAGTAATGAGGTATCAAAAATCGAAATGGTGTATTTAAGTGTTTTACACTCACAAAAATAAACCTATCATTCTATAGGTATTTGAAGAACTTGTAGCATTCCGCCACAATTTAATTCTTCGTATTTTTATCCGACACTAGGCAGCTGGTACATAATTGAATATTTTAATATTTCAATATTAAAAAACGATTTTCTATTCCATTCTACTTTAAAGCTTGTCCTGCCATCTGTTATCGGAATTTAAAGACGTTCTTTTAGGTTCATTCACGAAGGAAAAATTTAAAACAGCACGTTTCATATCAGCTATGATGAAATAAAGAATACCTGGACTGTAAGAAACAAAAAAACGGAGAAAAAAATTAAGATGAAACTTAGCGGATCTTAATAAGACCTGATTAATCCGTTTCCAACCTGCTACAGTAAAAGTTGCTACATTCATTAAGTCCAACAAATTACCAAGGGTTTACTTGAGTGACTGTTATTTTATATTTCCTGCTCTAATACCCCCATAAATATAAATCTTGAAAGCAGGTTTAGTTAGGTAATATATGATTTATTCGTGTTCTTTGTTTACACGTACGTTACTCAAAGAGTCATGTTGAAAACTTACGCCCCCCTTTATACAGAAGAGTCATGTTTTGGGTTACTCGTAGTTTAGATAAGAGTCATGATTAATACTTACGCAAACGCTACACAAATCATGTTTAGAGTTACTCGTAATTTAGATAAGAGTCATGTTGAATACTTACGCGAACGCTACACAAGTCGTGTTTAATATTTACACATGTTACACAAGTCATGTTTAATATTTACACACACATGTTACACAAGTCATGTTTAATATTTACACACACGTTACACAAGTCATGTTTAATATTTACACATACACGTTGCACAAGTCATGTTTAATATTTACACACACGTTACACAAGTCATGTTTAATATTTACACATACACGTTACACAAGTCATGTTTAATACTTACACACACACACATGTTTAATACTTACACACACGTTACACAGGTCATGTTTAATACTTACACACACACACATGTTTAATACTTACACACACGTTACACAAGTCATGTTTAATATATTATAAAAGAAAATCTACATGGAGTTACTAAAGGGAAATGTTGCCCTACTAATCTGTTAGCTTGTTTCAAGAATATTACTTGTTACCTGGATCACGCAAAATGTTGACTTGGTTATTTAAGGGAAATGTTGCCCTACTAATCTGTTAGCTTGTTTCAAGAATATTACTTGTTACCTGGATCACGCAAAATGTTGACTTGGTTATTTAAGGGAAATGTTGCCCTACTAATCTGTTAGCTTGTTTCAAGAATATTACTTGTTACCTGGATTACGGAAAATGTTGACTTGGTTATTTAGATAAAAAAAAAAGCTTTGATAACGTGCCATACAAAAGCTTAGCTGATAAAAAATTGGTAGTGGTTGGGGAAATACTTAATGGACTGTAGGGTGGTGTTGGAGAGCTGAAAGCAAAATGTTGTTATTAATGCAGACCAATCAAACTGAACGCTTGTTAACGATGGAGTGTCACAGAGGTCAGAGATTTGGCCTTTGTTTCATCTTACTTACATTAACGACACTAATAAGGCATAATCGGTAAATTAATAGAGCTTTCTAGTGTCATAAAACTCTGGTATTTCGAACTGTATTGAACATGTTAAGGTATTACCGAGAGAGTTGGATCGATTGGTTAGTTGGACATCCAATTAGCGAATGACCTATAACTACAGTAGGTGTAAGGTAATGCATTTATATCACCACAACTTCGGTCACGTGTTTACTGTAGATGGAAAAAACCTAAGAAAAGGATCTTGGCATAACGGTAGATAAGTAAGTCATTGGAGTAGTGCTATGTTGCTAGTAGAATTTTAGGAATAATTTATAGATGTATTGATTACAAGTCAAAAGTGGAGGTGGGGTTAAAGGATAAAGGTTTTGATTTTTTGTGTTGTATTCTGAAGATAACAAGCTGATGGAGTCATAAGTTTAACACTTGGGAAGCACAAACTAAACTGGATTAAAGAGAATTATATCTCTGTAACAAGCTGATGGAGTCATAAGTTTAAGACTTGGGAAGCACAAACTAAACTCGAGTAAAGAGTTATATTTTTTGTAACAAGCTGATTAACTTGTGAGGGAAGTAAATCCACTAAACACTTTCAATAAAAGTCCAGAGGTAACCAAAAACATCATAAAGAGTTATTTTTATTCAAAAACCGAGCACTAAATCAAAGGCCATCTAAGGAAACTATATTCAGACAACTTCAATGACGGAAGTACAGACGCAACATACACATTAATATAAAAAAACATAACAATTCCCCATCACACATTTACGACCACAGCACAACAAATCAGCATCCAATGAACATTAACAACTTTAAATCATTATGCAATGATAATAACATTTAATAGAAGAAAAATAAAATAAACTAAAACCTAATTTAAATCAAAACACACGATAGGCCTAACATGCCGGGCCTAACAAAATGCTCGCGCAGTATTCCACACGATAGAGGACAATTACAAAGTCAAATAAAAATATAAATAAATAATTCACTCGAAAACTTCACCTCTGGATCTTTATTTAAAGTTGATAAGCTTATGGAATGAGTTGCATTCGTCTGTGGTAGCGGCCAACATTTTTCAAGTTAGAATAAGAGTGGGGAATTAATAAGTTCCTGAAAAATTAAAGGGGAGTTTCAACTTTTATTTTTCTCAAAGGTGGGTGTGAAATGACGGCTTTGAAGAACAAAATAGTCCCTTGTTGTGTTATAAAGAGCTATGAACAGAGTGCAGATAGCCCATTGTGTAACTTTATACTAAGAAAGTAACAACAACTACATTATGATAATCAACTAAGAAAAACTGAAGGTTTTTCGGAATAAGTTATTTAACTAGGTTTAACGTAAAATAAATAATAATTACACAATCAAATTATTGGAAGATTTTTTCTAACGATAATACATGTAAAATAATAAATTTAAATTCAAATAAACCTATCAGTATATATCAATTACATAACGTCCAATTCCTGTGTCGCCCTCTATTACCATAAATGTATACTTTTGAACACTTGAATATATATATATATATATTCTTTGTATTTTCTAGCTTGTCACATATATATCGAGAAAACTTACTTGGACCAGATGTTGTAGTATCTTGAAATAACTTCCTTCGATCCGGTTCTTGCAAGAAAGATGAGAAAACGTAATGCAACTGTGAAACTTAAATAATAATAATTACAGAAAAAATAACTCATCACTAATTTTGTTTGAAAATATTGATTTGAAAACATTGTTTACAGGAGTGTCGCTGTTGTGTTTGTTATTGTTGTCTTATGGCAAACCTATATAATGGACTATCTGCGCTATGTCCATCGCAGGGAATCGAACTTTGGATTTCAGCATTGTAAGTCCAGAAATTTACCGTTGACGCGGGTAATAATTAACCAGAACTGAAAATTAGTTTAATGAGTTTACACCATGCTGACCTGTGGTCCACTACATTTTGGCCATAGCTAGGTTGAGCTTCCTTCAGAAGCTGACATCGTACTTGTTAATAACCAGCATCCTTCCTATGAAATATTCTTTTAAAACATACATTTTACTTTATTAAAGAACTCCGAGTGACAGTTTAAGCCGACAGGGAGCAAAACTGTAGAGAATATATCTATATATAACTAGGAAATGAAACGAGTACGAGTTAACCGCAGATAAGATTAATAAATTATGTCCAACAAAAAAGATGTAATTTATTTAAAGCGTAACCAATACATTCCAACTTTGTTGTCTCTTCTTCAGCAGCTCAGTGGGATGTTAGAGGGCTTATAACACTAAAATTTCGGCCTCGATTCTTGCGGTAGGCTCAGCACTGATAGCCCATTTTAAAGCTTTGGGCTTAACAAGAAACAATCTGTATTTTGTGTGTGTGTGCTGACATCTGTTGACAGTTCTTGAAACTAAATTCACACTTTTTTTAATATTCTATATATACTCTATTAACATAAATTCCAGCTTGTCAGAAGCAACGAGACAAACTGAGTAGTCACATTATCTTTGCTACTAAACCAACCAGAACATAATAATTTTTATCCGTCAGAAACTACACTTTTTATCTGGTTTTTCACACATTTTACTCAGAACAGTTAATAAAGTAACACAACTATATTATTAGGTGTTGTAAGTGGTTTTATGCAACTTAAAATTATACCGCTCATTTCGAACCACGGATTTACAAAAACAAATTACTCAGATAAACAGAAAAGCTATATATATATATATAAACATTATTACGAAATTTTTCAAGTGGGCTTTGGAGTTAAAATAACAGGCGATTCTAAGCGCTATTATAAGTTACTATGCTCACCCATAGATGGCGTTTCCATATCCCCTCCAAACTTGGAATCTTCCTGGAACAAAAACGTGGCTTTGAATCCTTGCGACGGAAAATGACTGCGACTTTGAAAGAGAATGTATAGATCCGGTCCCGTTGAGACAATCTCCTTAAATGTGTTAGAGTTACAAAGCTCTCCAATCACAGGGTCCTTAACACTGTTTCCGTCGTGAATTTCTATCTTGTCGGGGTTGTTTAAGCAACTGAAAATAGTGCAAAGTGCTTAGCGATCTTGACAATAATATTCGCAGTATAAAAACAAATTGATATAAAAATAATAGCCAGAAAGATACACAGATAGATAAGTATATAGACAAATAGGGGTACATAGTGTAGAAGAAAGCAGATCCTTACATTTTGGGAAGATAAACTACAAATTTACTGAATCCAACTGACAATAAAAAATGTATTTTTACATGTTCCACAACTGAGATTGAAAACTGATAAATCTTATTAAAACTCCCTCTATCTTTAAAATGATCCGTTTTCCTTTTCTTTGTTGGATTCGGAATTTGTCGAAAGATGTAACGATTTGTTGTCCTTGTTACAGAAATATGGCTTCTCTGTTTACCTTAAATCATTTGTCTGTAGACGAACTTGTTCAAATATGATTTTAACACTTTCGTTCTCTTTCCCCATGAATCGGTAAGTACAGTCCACGTTTTTAGGGTATGTGCTCGGGTACTGTGGAGAGAAAAAGCGCCCTCTACTTTGGTTACTTCTCCCACTTACAAATCTGTAGTCACACGTGTTTTCGCTTATTAGTTCACCAGATGTCTGAAATAGAGCTGAAAAAAAAAAGATGAAAAATATTTTTTTTTTTATTAGTGCTCAACATTTTCAGACAATATTATGAAATTACCTTCTGATAACCTTTTATTATTTGATTGGTCGTTACTTGATGCAATCCAAATATGATTGATTAATATTTGTGGCAAGCATAGATTTGATTGGATATTACTTTTGGCAAACTCAAAATTGATTAGTTACTATTTGTGACAAGCCTAGATTTGGTTGTTTGTTATTCGTGAAAATCTCCGATTTGATTGGTTACTATTTGTAGCAAGAATATATTTGATTGGTTATTATTTTGGCAAACTCAAAATTGATTGGTTACTATTTGTGTCATGCATAGATTTGATTGGTTATTATTTTTGGCAAACTCAAATTTGGTTGGTTATTATTTGTGACAAACTCAAATTTGGTTGGTTATTATTTGTGACAAGGCTAGATTTGGTTGTTGGGTTTTTGTGAAACCTCTGATTTGATTGGTTACTATTTGTAGCAAGCATATATTTGATTGGTTAATATTTTTGGCAAACTCAAAATTAATTCGTTACAATTTATGACAAGCTCTGATTTGATTGGTTACTATTTGTAGCAAGCATATATTTGCTACTTATGTTAAGTCTAGATTTCATTTGTTGTTATTATTGGCTAGCTTAGATTTAACTTCTGACAATATTTTTTCTGATATTAGAGGGTTAGTCATCCTTAAATCTGAACTAGTTAGCAGCATCCACCGACAACTCGTGCACTAATCTTCTCTGATCGTATAAAGGGCTTTGAGTGTCACTCATATAACACATAAAATACTCCAAAATACGTAGTGCTATCTTACTTTTACTAAAACGGGTCGCGAACGCTGGACCTGCAGATCTCTACGTCAGTACGCTAACCATTGGGTCATGCTCAGCCGAAGCTTAGATTTGATTGGTTATTAAATTATTTTCTGTTTGTCAACATTTTTTAATTTCTTTTTTTTTCCCAGTCAATGTGATCTTGGTCTATGTTAAACGACTCCTGCAGTGAATCAATGAATCTACATACCTCAACTTCTTTATTAACTGATGGACTTTTAGAAGATTTTTTCTTGCTAACTTCTAAAGATTTTTGTCACTCAAGGTAAGACTTAAGACAGTTTTTTAAATTGAATAACGTATACTGGTATGACATCTGAAGCGAAGTCTATACTTCTTGTAATGAGAACAAAGAGCGGGCAAGTCGTTATGCTTATAACGCTAAAAATCAGGTTTTGATACCCGCGATGAGCAGAGTACAGGCAGTCCATTGTGTAGCTTTGTTCTTCAGCTAGCCCATAGCTTAATTACAAAACAAACGCAAACAAACTAAACGAAACAAGACCGAGTATCATCAGCATACAAAAAATACTAATTCTACGTATCTCACGAGTGGCCTTGTGATTCAGGCAGCTCCCTTGGATGCTTACTTAAACTAATTCTACTTATCTCACGAGTGCCTTGTGGTTCACGCAGCTCCCTTGGATGCTTCACTTATACTAATTCTACGTATCTCACGAGTGGCCTTGTGATTCAGGCAGCTCCCTTGGATGCTTCACTTATACTAATTCTACGTATCTCACGAGTGGCCTTGTGATT